CCCAGTACACCAAGAACATCTGCAAGCTGCCACCACAGTGCCCCAAATATTAGCAGCAAGATCCAGCCCTGGCACCCGGACCCACCGGCTCGCTCCTGCCCGATGCCTCGGGCTCACCGCCTTCCTCATCGCTCACCAGCCGAGACGCTTCTCCACTTGCAAATGCTTTGAAAACAGTCGGAGGGTCGCGTGGTGTTGGGATGAAGTTGCTCGGTTTAATTAGCATTTAAGCTATTTATCTTCTTTCTGCCAATGCAAAGCACCATGTTCACTGGGTTTCTTTCTTGCTTTGCTGCTTCAATCTACAGCAAGACAATAAAAATTGTATTTCAAGCCTACCTAACAGTTCTGGATGTTTTCAGTCACCGCTCCATCGTATCTGCTTGTCTGCCAGCATGTGTTTTATCTCATGGTTTCAAGGCTGTACTTTAATCCGTTGTGAAAATAGTTAAAGTAGGAGGAATGCCAAGGAAACATGAAAGTGGAGGAAAACGCCCGCAGCACCCAGCAGCACTGCCAGGAGCGCGGCATCGCACGCAAGGGAAAACACGACAGGGTAATTCCTGGTGAAACCAAGAATTTGCACTGAGCTCAGCAGATTTGAGGGGGGTTTCAGAGCCACAGCCCGGGGCTTGGCCTGCACAGTCATGTTTTTACTGCAGATGAGGTCTTGAAAAGCCGCTGCTATGTTTGGAAACAAAACCTGCAGAGTTTGGAACAGCTTCAATGGAACAATTTCTACATTGTAAAATGGGAAAAGTTTTCCTCAGCGTGATTCATCTGTCCCGGGGCAGGCATGGGGAATACTCTGGATGAGCTGGGCGCTGCAAGTACCTTGTGAATAACCACTTGGTGTGTAAGTAATTGGAATTAGTTATTTATAGGTTCTGGAGAAAATTGTCATTGTGGAGGAACAGCTAAAAAGGAAAAGTTGCAAACGGAGCACAGACAGCAATTAATTACTCACCTACACTTGAGTGCTTGCCATTGCTAAGTGACAGCTCATTTTCATGCGACCCTTGGCAGTCACTAATTAAAACTCTTTTTCCTATTTGTTCGTCACCTCTGTGCAGTTGGTATCAGATCAACAAGGCTTCCCGGCCACAGCAGCAGTTTTGTCTTCGAGGATACGCGTTCGCTTTCCCTTGCTGCCCCAGGCCACCAACTTTCTATTCTGTGAGTAATCACAGCCCATTTTATTTCCTTTTCCTCTCCCAAGTCACACAGAAGGCACAAAGCCTCTGGGCTGGTTACACTTTCTGCTGAGCTCAGGCTCGAAGCTCCATGTAACCCGAGGACAAGAAATAGCAGCAATAATGGGGAGAGAAGAAGGAAGCTTTTGTCAGCCCTGGAGAGGTTCAACACCTGCAACATCAAGGATCAGAACCTTCACAAATGCTTCACCTTGTTAGAATATTTTTTTAAAAATCAGAAACCATGAAAATTTGTAAGGGAAGATGTCCTCTATACCTAATGCTCTAGATAGCTTAGAGGAACATTCCT